AAAGGATCCTTTAACTTGATGTTTGTTTCTATGGCCACAATCCTTTTCGATCAAAAAATCTTATGCCTTAAATTCTCTGATGATGCAGTACATACGATATATCACTAGGAAGCTAATATAAGCGCCTCTCTCATCCACACATCGTCATTGCAATTACCCATCGATATTCTTGCTCACGTCTATTTGCTGCTAGTTGACATGCTGACCGGTAAAATGCAAAAGCACTCTTTGACCGACCTAATGAATGGTGCTCCAGCATATGCATAGTGAAATCGCCTAAGGCAGCAATCATGGCCATCATTCTCCTGAATACTCAGAGCTTGCCCACCCATAAGAGGGGGGAGACCAATGAAAAAGTTAGGCAATAAGTCACGTCTAAGATCTGCTTATGACGAAATTCAGCTCTTATCTATTGCGTTTGCCTACCAGAGAAATTTACACTTGAAAACGGACTGTATGGCATTACTGAGGCATGCGCAGGTTAATCAGAAGAAATAATTAATATTCTATAATAAACTGGGAAAATAAAACTGTATGAATATTATTTCAAGCCCAAATGTTGTTCTCTACATCTCGTTCTGTGCATGTGGGCGCGTACGCATGCGTTTGATGCGAAATAAATGATGCTTTTGAATGATCTTTTTCTAAGCGGCTAATGTAAGCTGAAAATTACTTTTGTTAGCTAGTGCTTGGAGGAGCATTACCATAACATATTTTTTAGATGTGGAGTTTGTGTAAATTCACTTGATTGTGAGGAATGGAGCCAGGAAAATGTATAACTATGACTATGGCCAACAATTGAGGATAGCACATATTCTGAAATTACTGGAAGTCACCGCATTTGAGAAAATTGTATTTCAACGAGCTTATCTCTGAAATGGAGCCACACTTCTTAGGGAAGAAATCAATGGGGAACAGAGACCTCTGCACACATACTCAAACATTATGCTCTGATGTTAATTATAGAGTTGGTGGGTTTAGGAATTATCAGTCTCTCCTGAAAAAGATTGTGAGTAAGCCTCTGTCGTTATAGGCGAATTGAAAAAAGTAAAGTAATAGGCCTCCCTTATTCTGAAAATCACATCTGTCTTGTGACCCTCTGACGCATGCGACAATTAGGCGAAGTGGCAAATTTGCCGTTTGACCCGCACGATTCGGATTCGAGTCGCGTTAGAGAAATTGATGAGAGCCAGAGGAGATGTAGCTGTAGTTCAATAGTGATCAAAGATCCTAGTTGGAGGCAGGTCTGAATAAAAATCCGTGGCATTATGTGGGATTCTGCCAGCTTTTTCGCGGCAAATTAAAAATCAATCATAACATTTCTTTAAATAATTTTAGTAAACAAAGATTATATGAGAAGTCAGACATCGCAGGCATCGTAGTCGGCATCATCATTGAGTGCTGCCATTCTCCGCACCAAGCCAAGAACTCGTTAAAGAGACAAGTGAAGTCAATCCCTCGGCCAACATTCTGCAGAAAACGGTTAAACTATTGCTTCTCCTTCTGTCCTGACTCATCCATCTATTCATTACACTCTTATCCAACTACCGTCCTATCCTTTAACTCGGGATTCAAATCCGGATCCCCCACATGATCCCGTAGATCCGTTCCTTATCTTTCTGGTTGACCGAGTTTACTCGTTTCCAGTCCCAGTATGCGTTTCACTCCAGGCGCTATTTCTCAAGAGCGTAGAAGCACGTACACTGCCTCACCGAACAGAGCGCCTATACTATGATTCCCATGCTTGCAGATATTAGGCATTGTCTTCACGGGTCATCTCATTAATTAAACCTGTGTTATCTGAGCAAATTGGGGATGCCCATCCCTTATCATCTGCGGCATCTCAAGTGGATTTCTAGAACATTTTGGCCGTAATACCGAATTTGTGTGACGGTTTTGTTTATCCATTTGCCTAGTTCTATGACTGCCGGGCACCAAAAATTGTACTGGTTTCTTCGAACAAACATCACTCACCGGTAAAGTCTTCGCTTGATTGCCGGAAATCCCTGCAACCCCTTAATCTCCTCGCGATCCCTTTTTCTTCGGTTAGGGATAGATCCATGATCAAGGCATCTCCTTTTTTCTGGTCTTGCCGTATTCTTATTTTTCCAGAGTAGGCAATGTTTCGCTAGAACTGCCTACCTCCAATCTCAGGATCATTAGATTTTTTCCAAAAGTATGTAAATGCCCTCCCTAATCTTCCGCTTCCTTGTGTTTTCACCGAATGAGGTCCTTCTTTCTGTTGCCTTACAATTGATCTCATGTCCAGTCTGTGCGATGTGTTCCGCTAATTCTGATCTTTTGCTATCCATTTTGTTGCAGAGTCTTTGCTGTTCCTGATTCGCATGCTAATTTTTCTCCCAGTTTCCCACATATATTTTGTTTACAGGCGGTTCATGATAGACAGTAAACTCCTGAACAATCCAATTTGTCTACCCTTTCATGTTGCGTCGATAGACTTGTGAAAAGTGCTGTTTTTTCCTTCATGGCCACCCTAATATTCCATTTCCTCAATATTGGCAGTAGTTTTTGAGTTATATCGCAGGAAGGTAGGCCTATCCACTATTGTTAATCCTTCATTGTCCTTACTGTTATTCCGTAGTACCCGTTCTACCATCGGCTTTCCACGTCCCATATGCTTCTTTGTTTTACTTCGCTTGGGTAGGCATTGCCGAAGAATATCTCAGTCAATTTGTCCAATTCTTCTACCCAAAATTCCACATCCGTTAAACGTAGTCTTACGATGAGCATGCTCCTCATTATTCCTACCTTTAGCCTGAAATTGTGATTGGACGGGAAATTTAGTATTATCCTGGCACCAGACTTCTATCTGAGCTATTTCTTCTTAAGCGTCCCATTAAAGCGAATCACTTCAACATCAAGGAAAGGTAACCGCTTCACTTAATCTGCTTCCATCGTATATTTTAATTTTTCTTTAATCTGGTTTATAAACTTCAGAAAAACTTCCAGTCTCTATATGGCATTTGATCAAAGTGCGAAGTAATCATCCTGGTACCGTATGAGCACTGCTGGTTGTAGCGGTGACATCTTAAGTTATCTTCTTATTTTTTTATCTATATGTTTATCAAAAGAGCTTAGAGTCGCGATCCCATGGTAAATCTAAATATTTGTTCATAGGTGGTCACGTTGAAAATTTACACAGGGCGAACCTTTAAGGCTGATGGGCAGCGAGTATGAGGCATAACCCAACTTGGCAAAGTTCATTCGTTTGAAATCAAAGAAATTATATGACAGGTTATCAAACATGGTGAAACATTAATATGAATTTTCTCAAAAAATCAAGAACATGACACTGGAATAAACAGACTAATTGCTAAATTTTTATGCGGAATCTATGTATAAAAATATATTTTGAGAAAATGCCCTATCGGCCCTGCTGGAAATCCTGGACATAGAGAAGGATATCCTGGAATCACAGTTTGGGTGTTAAACTTACCTCTTCCATGAAGTGTTCCTCCATTCTTGACATGCAAGTATTAGCTAAAATGTGAGCCAAGTAGGACCCCATTGCTAGGCCTTGCACATGGTCATAACAATTATTATTAAAAGATGAAGTATGTGGTACTCATGGATAAATTAAGTGGCCTTAAGATTGAGCTCTTGCTTAGATTTGTTTCCTTAATAATTTCTGGGTTATCATCTAGGCAGACTGTTAGTGCTTCGATAGCCTTCTCTATTGGGATGTTAGTATACACTAATACCACATCGAAACTAGCCAAATATCCTCCCCTTTAATATTCTGCTGATCTATCAATCTAACAAATTCATATGAATTTCTTATTGAATATTTCCAATACTCAGCCAATTTCGTTAATTATCTACATAAGATATGTGAAATACACTTCCTTTATTATTAAAAAAACAATCTTAAAGGAACTCCTTCTTTGCGTATTTTTGGAAGGCTGTAGGCCGAAGGTGACATAGCATCCCTGTCAAGAAATGAATTCATTTTACACTTCTCAATTTCTTCTCTGCTTACACAAACGTTAAGCGATTCCCTAAGTTTGGCCTTAAGACTCTCTGTTAGATCCTTCACTAAAAGTCTGTAAGTTTCTGAGTCAGTTAAATGAACCATGATTTTTTCTATATAACTTAACCTATCCATGATGACCACTGCACCACCTTTGTTTGCCTTTTAAACAAACAGATCAATTTGGTGCAAATACCTAGAAACCTTATTCAAGTCATAAGATTTTTTTGGGATAAATACCTCATCAAAATGAGGAATCATTTCTCTTTCTATACTATTCTTAACCCCCATTGGCAGCTTGTCCGTTAAGTTAATTAACTCAACCAGTACCTCCATTGAATGAGTTTGCTCATTTGAAAAGGCAAAGATATGCGTAACAGCATCTATAGGTAGACTCGATAAATTAATGACTTTATTTTTACTAGAAAAGATAGTACTAAGTTTAACTACCTCCTTATTGTTTCGAATATTCCTTTAACTGAGATTAACGCTCAAATTCCTTAACTTCTTATCATGGATCTTATCCATCCTGTCCGCCATATTCTGCAATTTGAGAAAGTCTTCATGAGAAAACAGCAGAGAAAGGGATTGTCTAGTCCTTGTTTTGGTTATAATCAAAACATATAATTTGACTATACTTTCTTTTAGTCTAGTCTTAGCCAAACTACCCGATACATGCTCAAGTTTCCTATTATTGGAAATAGGTAAATCTGGACGCCTACCAAGAATGCAACATCTTGGTATTACATTATTTGAAATACAAATTTTTTAAAATCTAATAGGATTGACTCGCTTGGATATAGATTTCTTGGTTTTCGTATAGCCAAAAGAAAGTTGTTAAGCATTCATACCATACGTACGTAGGATATGCGGATAAAAGTGGGATTTCGAGGAATCTCTTGTTTACTAATTGTTGAGCTTACTTGCATTTGGAGTGAAAGTGTCTGGTGAATGGATTCAGAGGTCGATTCCACCGGAAGACGACGGCGGATTCCTCTTGCTAGTAAAGCCAATCGACAGCTGGTCAAGAGGAATCCGCCGTCGTCTTCTGGTGGAATCGACCTCCGAATCCATTTACCAGATACTTTCACTCCAAATGCAAGTAAGCTCAACAATCAGTAAACAAGAGATTCCTCGAAATCCAATTCTTCTTCGCATGACAATTTTAGGTCTACAAACAGACTCCAGCTTAGTCAAGTCTTCTTTTATTAATCAGTGGCTCTTCATGTTCCCTTTTCTTCTCTCTCACTCTCCAATTCGAGTTAACAGTCAGAGATAGTTCTTACTTAGTTTCCAATATTTGTTCCTCTTCCGTTTAACTGTGTAGTCCCCATATCTGGCAAAACGTTGTGATTTAGACGATGCTATCTGGTGTGTTGTAGCGACCACATGTCCAGCCAGT